GTAAATTTCACATTGGAATTCTTCCCTATCATATGGGGCTTATAAGAGAAAAAATTAAAACTTTTCTATCTTTTTGGACTGTTACCTAGGTCTGCCCAAGTAGTTAAGGTTTTATCCATAAGGCTGAATTAATCAGACACCAATCTCACTTAACATGCTATCAAGCATGTGAAACTATTTGAATTCACATTGCCAAGACATCATCAAGTTCTTTGTGGGCACAAGAGACAGCAGCATGTGTAAGACTTCACTGTCAATGGTCTACAGCCTTTTGGCAGTACAATAGCTAAGCTCTTACACCATTTTGCCCAGTGAGTTGTAGAGAGCTTCTCCATCCTTCTGGAAAATAGAAAAAAGCACTAGGGCTGTTAGCATTCACTTGATTAAGATGGGCCACAGGATGGGTTATCAATGAATAAAAGCATTGCTAAGGTTTGATTGACAGTTCTGACTGTTCAATTTTAAGCCACTAGTGAACCTGAGGGAGAGATTTCAATAATGATAGCAGGATAATTAGGAGCAATATTAGAGTGAAAGTGTCAAGTTAACTCTACAGTAAGCACATACATTTAGGTTACGTTGAGCCCACCTGGTGGTTTGTGTGGAGCCAGCAACAGAGAATTGAACTAGCTAAATCTGGTTGTTCTTATTCTGTTACGTTCTCCAGCCATTTTTTGCACATTTTGCTTCTCAGTCTGCTTTTGATGTGGCAAAGGACAATGTATTCAGTAGACGGTATAGTTCTTTGAGTAAACCTGAACTGTAGTTTAACCTTTCTAAACAAAAGTCATAACCTCAAGGTCTCAGAAGGGCATGCAAGAAAGTCTAGGGAAACAACACAGATACTGGTTGGGTATGTGTCAAATAAAGAGTAAAATGTAAAAATAAAAGTCGTTCTTACTTGCATGTTAACTATTCTAGCAATAACCATGTACTTCGAAGACTTAGCATATAAAGTTAGATGGCCCAGTAAGAAAGCAGAGGTTTAGCTGAAACACTGTTGAGTGGCGATATTTAAATGCACACACACCTTGCCATGCAGCAAGAGGCAAGGAGAATCTCAGACTAAGAAATTCAGATTTACTTTGAATTGCTACAAGAAGGGAGGAACTGCATGAACCAGAACCAACAAAAGGTTAATTATTCAACAAACAGTCACCACAATTTTTGCTATGAAAAGCTCATTCATGCTTTGTCAGATAAATTCTCTGCTTTCCCAGCCAGCTTAGAGCCTGGCACCTCTTAAATCTAGGTGTCTAGCTACAGTTTTCTCCTTCTATCTTGTCAATGACTGTCCTTTTTCTTACCTAGGGACCACAAGCAACATCTGTGGTGTCCAATTCAAAGGCCAGGAGCTTTAATCCGTCAGTTTTTTTGAGCAACATTCTCATCACAGGTAACAGCCAAAACATGGCAATTTTATCACTAAACTTTGCCAATTGCTTAGATGTCCTTGAGTAAGGCAACAACACTATGTTATGAATTCTTTAAAGTATTCTTTGTGATGTTGAGAAAGTTTGTGGAATTGTGAAATCTGTGGAAACTATGACTGTTTAGCCAGAGAATCATAAAGCTATATTAGTAAATAGGAAATGATTTAAAAGATTCATTGTCTTTGGCAAGACTATCGCTGTTGATTCAGCTGCTGTTTTCAATAGCAAAGACGGGGATTTTCAAACTCAGGCCTTAAATCAAAGTGAATAAGATCTTTTAAAAATAGTGACCATGGAAATTAACATGAACATATCTTGAATATTCCTCGTACTGGTTAATTCAGGGTTATTTTGCCAACAATCACAGTCACACTTATTGGAAGAGTTTATTTAATAAGCAGTAAGAAACCCAAACAGTAAATTAGTTTCATTCAACTCTGCTCAGAGAATTGAAAAAGTCCAAAATAGGGTATCTGCCCCTTATACTGTGCAGGTGGTTCCCAAGATGAGGTAATCTCAGAAGGGTATACAGCTGTCAGGGTGCTGATTGGATATGGTGTCTTCTAATGACTTTGATTAAGATATTTACCTTGGCTGAGGACAGAGGGCTAGTACACAAGAGGCTGGTTTGTTTCCACTCTTTTCACCTCAATTTGTTGAGGATGGTGCCCCCCTAAAAGGGCCAAGTCCTCCAAGCTGGAGGCAAAGACCAAAGCACTGGCAGCCAAGAAGGCTCTTGAAAACATCCATAGTTTCAGGAAGGTCTGCACATTCCCACTTGTGGGAGGCCAAACTCAACCCGGAAGCTGCAAAGGCCACTGCAAAAGCCCTGAGAAGGACTTGGTGTTGGCAGATGAGAAGCTTAACATGAGCCAGCTGGCAATGTGTGCTCACAGCCCAGAAAGCCAACCACATCCTGGACTGCATCACAAGAAGCACAGCCAGCAGGTTGAAGGAGGCAATTCTGCCCCTCTACTCTGCTCTGGTGAGACCCCACCTGGGGACTGCATTCAGCTCTGGGCCCCCCCAACTAAGAGGGACGTGGACCTGTTGGAGAGAGTCCAGAGGAGGGCCACAAAGATGATCAGAGGGCTGGAACACCTCTCTTGTGAAGAGAGGCTGAGAAACTTGGGGTTGTTCAGCCTGGAGAAGGCTCTGGGGAGACCTTATAGCAGCCCTCCAGTACCTAAAGGGAGCCTATAGGAAATATAGGGAAGAGACTTTGTCAGAGTGTAGTGATAGGATGACGGGTAATGGTTTTAAACGGAGAGGGAAGATTCACATTAGGTATTGGGAAGAAATTCTTTACTGTGAGGGTGGTGAGACACTGGAACAGGTTGCCCAGGGAAGTTGTGGCTGCCCCATCCCTGGAGGGGTTCAAGGCCAGGCTGGATGGGGCTTGGAGCAACCTGGTCTGGTGGGAGGTGTCCCTGCCCAGGGCAGGGGTTTTGGAACTAGATGACCTTTAAGGTCCCTTCCAACCCAAACCATTCTATGATGAAATCTATGAATGATTTAGTAGTCTTCTCAAAACACTTTTTCAAGGCATAGAATTTTTCCCAAGTACAGTAAGCAGCATAAATTCCAGATTATTGGATACAACTGTTCAAGGGCTAAGTTGTAAAAAAAAAAAAAAAAATCAGGAGTTATGATCATAACATTAGCTCTTAATTCCAATACAAAACTTTAAAAGCTATTCCCACTGTGGCACTCACACTCCTTTCCAGAGACTACTAACCTTCTTCCTACTAGTCTTTGGAGAATATTAGGATATCACTGAACGCCTAGAGATGTGCAGAAGCAGAATTCTCTGTTTTGAAGATTATCTATAGAAAGGAGCTTTTATGAAGCTTTTTGCATAGTTATACACTGGTCATTGATCTTAGCTCTCGTAATCCAGACCCAGATTCTTCCCTGTGTACTATAAAAATAATGAAACATAAATTATTACACTAGGCAGAATATTTTTAAGAAGAGGAAGGGAAGTTATGGTATGTTAGTAAACATAATATGCTCTTATTCATATTAATTGCGCTTATTAAAAGGCCATAACGTCCTTCAGTTTGGGTAGCCTAGAGCTATAAAGCCACCAGCTGAGTTTTAAGAGAGAAACATGTGCCATCACAAGACATGAATTGGTCATAAAAATAATAACTGACTTCTCCTTAAGGGAAATTTGAAAAGCTTGCTCTGTATCCTGCTCTCCTGCCAAAACTTCTTTCATTTCCTCTTAACGCTATCCTGCTAAAAATACAAGGTTCACAAACCTCACGCTATTTATGACAGAGGGAAAGTTGTCTTTAATTTGACCTGTATTCTTTTCAGCCTTCTGGGGAAAAAAACCAATCCCCTATTTTGTAATTGTGCCAAAGAGATTGTTCCACATCATGAAAAAAGAGTTCATTAAATATTTGAGGAATAGTTAGACTTCCCCTTTTTGGCACTGGGACCGTAGTGGGTGCTAAGGAACAGCCAGGCACTCTCAAGGCACTCCTGGGACAAGGTTCAGCGCAGTCAAAAAAACTAATTCTGAATGGAGGAACTTGACTAGAAGGTATGATTCTTAGTGCTTTAGCTCCCACAATTCCCAGAGTTATTTCTCCACTGTTATTACTTAAAAGAATGAAAGAAAATATACATGACTAAGAAACAGGAAGAAATGCATTTCCTTTCTTGTTCCTTTTTAACATATTTCTAGTGCAAAACACTCGGGGTATCCATTTCTTTCTTGTAGTTAACAGCTCGCACAAAGGCATCTATTTCACTTAGTCCTTACCTTTGTAAAATTGCACCTGCAGTAGCTGCTGGGTGTTTTGGTCCTTGCTCAGCTTTCTGGTTGAGACAATCACTAGCTGTTCAGCTTGATCCAGAGTAATTGCACAGCTTGAGGCAGGCAGCATGCTTCAGTTCTGACCCAAAGCAGAGCAATCCACACTGCATTTTAGTTACCACCATAAAACCAGGTTATTACAGAAGCTACACATGATGAATACTCTCAGGAACAACACACAAAAATCTTCAAAGCTACTTGACAACAAAAACTATGTTTTGACTTTGCATAATAGCATAGCTCACTAATATTTTGACTTAAGACTTCTCATTTTTTACTTGTCTCAACCTTTCAGAATCTGTTTTCTATGCAAGACGAAAAAAATTCATAAGCTGGACATAACAGAATATTAAGGGAAGGTGAGTGAAACCATCATAGCTTCAGCATGGGCCTTCCATCAGGAATTCATAAAAAAAAAGCAAATTACACAAATGGTTCTATTTGAGATGAAACCAGTTCCAGTTAGACCCAATTGCCTTCCAGTGCAAAACAGAAAAACTTTGCAAGATTACTGTTTGTGAGAAATTAATTTCGGATAGAAAAGGAAGTCAAGTTTACCTACATGTTCTGAAATAAAGGTAGAAACAGAATGAATCCATATACAGATGTCATCAGCTGTTTAATTTTTTTATGAGTCATTAAAAATACCATTAAAGAACTCATCCCTTTTAAACAGGTTAATAAAAAAATTAAGCTTAGTGGGAAGTTCAGCATGCTTCATTGCACTCAAAAATACGTTTCATGTTTTATATAACAGCTTTATTATCAAATGGCAAGAGACATTTAGTAATGATGTCATGCAGGTATCACAAAAAATTCCGAAAGATAAACATAACCCAACAGCTCAAAATTCTTTGCAATTAAAAAACAAAGCTACATCTTCCCAATTTCCCCGTTTTGTTTCATGGTAGCCACCGTTTTCCTGTCAAAATGTTATGGCTATCACTTGGATCACAGGAAAATGTAGGCTAGTGCAGTATTCCACAGCACAGTGCTTTTTTGCCTTTTTCACAAGGCCTTCCTCACTCTTCACAACCCTCAGAAGTAGTCCTCATGGGGTAGGAAATGGCCTGAGGCCGTTAGCAGCTGAAGATAAACACGGAAGGGACACGTTAAAGAAACATTAAGGTTTTGCAAAAGTAATGAACCTTGTTTTCAACCTTTTTAAGGTCTTAAGGCTTTTAGCCACTGCGATGGGAACAGAGTTTATGGCTGCAACACAACAGGTTTTTCAGTACCATAGCCTGATCCCATCTACGTGGCAAAATACAACTCAGTGAAAATGTCAAGTGACAGCATGATTCACATTAAATTAAAACATAGCTCAGTTCCTTCTTTACTGTCAAGGTACCAACAAAATATTGGCTTTATACAAGGATTTTATATAGAAGGGATTTTACAACAGCATCTATTTATTGACCAGAACTGGAGACTAATTTTGAGAAAAGCCACTAGACAATAAGTAGTAGGTAATTTGTTCTGAGAGTTCATCTGCATGAAAAATTAACTATGCAGAAAAGTAGGCTGTAAATCTACAGTAACTTCACATTCAGTAGTCCAGGAGACACTTGCTCACAACAGCTAAATTCACACTCAAGTTTACTATGGAATAAATCCCCTGGGTAGATGACCTCCGAGATTAGAACGACAGCAATAAAAATAATCACTGTTCAGTTTTAGATGCCAATAAAGTACACTTTTAGAGTAAATTCTAAATAACAAAACAATTGCTGAAGCTAAATGATCTTACAATAAACTCGCAAACAAAAGTGATATGAATTCCTTTATCTACCTATGTAAAAAATACCATTTACTGTGCAGCCCGGATTTAAATAAAAAACAAATAGTGTATCGATATTATTTACTATATATTTACATGTAATACTGTGATGAAATGAAGGAGTCAATTAACATACGTATGTTACAAAAAGAACAAAACTCTTTAAAGGTACCAGTACCTTTCAACATTATCACATTTATGGAACTGTTCTCTTCCATCTCAACAATCTATTATTATATGATGAGTTAACATGAGGATACAGACAAATAAACCCTTCAATTGGAGCATACGTTAATGCCTCAACTCCCATTTCAGCAAGACACTTTAGGGGCATCAACTTAAAGCACATGAGCAGCACTGGTTTCGGTAGGATAAAACTTAAATGCACACCCCAGTTCCTTCCTCATCAGGGCCTCATTTTATGGGATTCCACTGACAATACAACAAACGACAACAGTTATAAGCATACAAAGGGAGGTATCATATACCTTAAGTGAATATATGTCCTTCTGCCTAAAGGTGAATCATAGCTGGTTGCCCATTGCCAGTTAGTGACTTGGCAGACATTGGAGTAATTCATTCAATTGTATACACAATGACACAAAAGACTTCTGTTATGTGATGCTTTGAACGCTACTTGGAGTCAGCTCTTTAACAAGAACTGCACCAATTAGTGCACCTGATGTTTCTAGAGAATTGCGCTGCAATGGAAAATTTTATACTCTTTACATATTGCTTGAGAAATGGTAGTATTACACTGCTTAAACATTTTTAAATTACTTGAGAACTGAAAGTTTTATATAATCATACAATTGTTTTCTTAAATTGGCAGGATAAATCTGTACAAATGGAACATTGGCAAAATAATTAACATTTAAAAAATTAAAATTAGAACTTCAAAATCATCAGCCACCCATGATAAAAATTCTAATCTGCTCTCTCCCTACTTATGTCCTCTCCCAGAATAAAATTATACAGAGGACAAGAGGGAATGATGTGAAACTTTGCCTTTGTTAATCCAGTTAATAAAGCAGATGTAGGTTCAAGTATTTAAATCCACACAGCACTAATAAATAGAAGTAAACAATCAGGATGAGAATATCATTGTAGTTAAAGTACTGCAAAAAACCTTTGCTTCTGAGTGAGCACCGTTATTATATTATGCTAGTATTTTGGAACTCCCAAAGGCAAAAAAATGAGAAATATTGTGGATGAGAAATGTGCTCAGACCAGATCACAGGGAAGCCTACAGAAAATGTTACAAAATTGGACTGAATAATTGAGTTTTTTCTGCAAGTTTTAGAACGCGTTATCTGTAGTTTATGTCTACATTACAATTCTTGCTCTGCACGTAATCAGAGCAAAATGTTACATCTGTGTTTTCACTTCCCTCAACCTGAGGGCCACACACCCACCTTCCCCAAGTAAAACACTCGTGGTTTGGTTACAAAACTCTATGCAGTACATTTCTGAACACAGTTCCTTCAATTATAGGCCATGTGTTCATTTAAAGACATTCTTGTCAACTACGAGCCTCCCCTTTCATTGCTTAAGATCCAATAGAAAAGCAAATATACAAATATCAGAAGTGCTGATCCTGAGATGAAGTATGGGAAATTCTGGTCCAGTTTGATCCTTACTCAAACTTCTGTTTCAGTTTCTTCTGGAAGAGAGCTGGTAGGATGGAGAGGGTGGCTAGGATCATGAGAACAAAAACAGAGTTCCAGGAAACAGCTTCCCCTGCTGTGGTGAGCTGGTACAGCGTCGTTCCGGCCTTAATGGCTACAAAAGAAGGTGGTGCCACACCTGGAGCAGGGAATGAGAAGGGCAAGAGGGCAAGGAAGAAAAAAAACACCAGCTTGTTAGGGTGAAACAAAATCAGTCATCCAACTTATAACACCAAAAATTTCAGACTTTGTTGCCTTGTACTTTTTTTTTTTTTAAAGAGGTTTAAATAGAAAATTCAAAGACAAAACCCCCATATTAAAAGAACTGGGTTTATGCCATTTTAAATATTTTTAACACCAACTCAAACAGAGAAGACTAAGAAAATCTCTGCTCTTTAGACTCTGCAGAGAGACAACATGAAATCTGCAAATGGATTTTATTAAAGTTCATAAAGGAAAAACATATATTTTTCCTTACCAGATTGAGAAGTATTTGCAAAAATATGCCAATTACAAACTTAAAGTGTTTAGCACTACCTTAGTCAAATTATGACTTCACTCCTTGGAGGATTTATTATGATAAATAAAATGGAGTGGGAGAGAGAGAAACAATCCTTCAGATCCAAGTCACATACACCCTCCCACAATTATGCTGAGCTCAAAATAGGAGCTTACAGAAGTTCACAAAATTACTATAGTGGAGTGGAACAAAATGTTACTAATAAAGTGTTCATATAATATATGTTTCCTTGAGCAAGTAATTAGCTTGTGCCCATTACCTCTGATCTAGCATATCAGAACAGTCCTGACTACTAGAATTTTTCAATGCTATAAGCTCCACACATCAAAAAAGTACAAAATACTCTTGAGTAGTCTTTCAAGCATCCAGTAGGTGGTGATCTCTGCTGAGCAACGCTTACAGAGAGAAGCAAGTAATATCCCTTCTGGCTACCCCAAACTGCAGTTCACTAGCCAGAATTCTTACCTAGAAAAGTGCCAATGAAAAATACTTTCAATGGCACATTAATCACAGGAGATGTTATATTGATAAACCAATTGGGAAGAAAAGGTGTTATTCTCAAAAATATTATGTAGTTAATGAGGTGATCTCTGTGTCTTTCAACCTGCCAAGACAAAAACAAGTCAGTAAATTTCAATGCCCCCAAAATACAGGACGATTTTACTACTAGAGGTTTCTTAGGGCTTTTGAGTGTATCTTTTTTTTCTAGAAATTTACAAGTTGGAAACATAAAACTCAGTTAAACAATGAGTGACTCAAGGAAGAGTCATCAGTGAATCACCTGTTAAATAGTACTGAAGTCAGTCTGGAAATACCAGTCTGTGGTGGAGCATGGTGATGATGTGTCTGAATCAGCCAACTTAAACAGCACACGAGTATTTCAGCACAGCAACTGGCCTAACCCTAACTTTAGCACAGCAACCTCAGCCTAAATGCAGCCCAAACAACGTGGCCAGTTTGTCATCCTATTCCTAAAGCTTTTGCAGAAACTAGCAATGATATTTGTTCCTCAACTCATGATCAATCTTGAAACACAGCTGTATTCCTTACTTGAAAACCTACCCAGGTCATGGCTCTGAAGTTCATCAGGTGGCTGCTGCCAACGCAGTTGCAAAACCTGTCCAGCATTAACATTTATTCAGGAGCAACCGCAATAGCCCCAACTTCATTTACAGTCTTAATTATATTCTCGAGTCTAGCCCAGCTCCTTACAGTAGTACTACATCAAAGCCTCTTTTCTCCTTCCAGCCTGGCTTTAGCACATCAGCCCTTTCAAACAAGAACTGTAACCCCAAACCAAGCTATAAGGATAGCAAAGCACCCATCACTTCCAGCCTATCTCAGCAGACTTTCACTAAGCCTAAGCCTAAACACAGTCACCTGGCCCCAAACAGCTGAAATCAAACCTGGTCTGATTGCAATTCCATCTGAAATCTCACATAGCCACTCACACCAGACACAACCTTGTTTCTTTCCCCCAACTTTAGCTTTAACTACAAAACTAAAATCAGTAGCCCTGCTATTGTTCAGTAACACCACTGTGGGGCTTTTTTAATCTTCGCAAAGGAAAAATATTTAAACATTAATTAATCCTGTTTATCTTAGCCTTCAAAATGGTATAGTCCAATGAACTTGGAAACAGTGAGGGATGAGCTGCACATGTAACAAAGGAAAAATAGTTAAACATTAATTAATCCTGTATATCTTAGCCTTCAAAATGCAAGCATGGTATAGTCCAATGAACCTGGAAACAGTGAGGGATGAGCTGCACATGTAACTACATCATTTTAAATCACATATCCAGTTCTAACAGAAACATGGCACTTGAGAATGGCCTCAAGATTATACTGCAATATTAAGATTTACTTGGGTCAAGAGTCAAAATACTACTATATTATTTAACAAGGCCAGTTGTGCAGGACAACTCCACATCTTAACTACTGAAGAACAATATTTTTATGTGATTCAAAAAAAGTGCATCATTTTAAATCACACCCAGTTCTAACGGAAACATGGCACTTGAGAATGGCCTCAAGATTATACTGCAATATTAAGATTTACTTGGGTCAAGAGTCAAAATACTACTATATTATTTAACAAGGCCAGTTGTGCAGGACAACTCCACATCTTAACTACTGAAGAACAATATTTTTATGTGATTCAAAAAAAGTCGAACAGAGTACAGTAGTAAGTTATGCTTCGTAGTCTCAGAGTACAGTAGTAAGTTATGCTTCGTAGTTGAAAAAAAATATCTGTTTGAACATGTTTCAGAGTATCAAAACAAGAGATGAGGTCAAATACTGGGCACTCTATGATTTTGTATTGCAAAATCTTTAACTTCATCTGACAATTAACACTTGCTGAAACTAATGTTACTAGATACCGTAAAAGACAGTTTCTAAATGCTCCAACCACAATAACATCTTCAAATTAAGGTTTTACAATCAGACATGCAGCAATGGGTTTTCTTGCCCTATAAAAACCACAAACCCATCTTTCATTAGTTCTGATTCTCACAGAGCTGTTACTTTAAATTGAAGCTGGAGAGGTTTCCTATTGACATTAGCTAAACCAGAGGGGTTATCAGTTGCAAACACTTCCTAGGTAAAAACAGCTTTCTCACAGGAAATACCATAAAACAAGGAATACGGTAAACTTCCTAGGTAAAAACAGCTTCCTCACAGGAAATACCATAAAACAAGGAATACTCCCCACTGTTTAAAAACACTCAAGAGAAAGTGTCTGCACACTGTCAGAAAGGAGTCAGAGTCCTTTCTTTGTAACTAGATAAATGAGCACGAGACCACCCAACTTTTCCATGCTATTCCAATATACATTTTCTATCATAAGTTGCAGCATCTCTAGAAACTTTACCTGTTCTGACCATTTTACTGCTTTTTCTGTTAAATATCTGTATACGACCGGACGTCCCACTAGGTACGAAAGCATATAGCAGAAAGAAGCTCCAAGTCCTGAGCACTGAAAAAAAAAAACCACCAAACAAATGAGCAGAAGCTCTGATTAATCTTATCCTTATATCCCTATTAAGTGCACTGGCTGGATAGAGCCCCAAAAAAACCCAAACAAATGAGCAGAAACTCTGATTAATCTTATCCTTATATCCCTATTAAGTGCACTGGCTGGATAGAGCCTGCTTCTGTGTGGCCCTCCATTGAGGCTGAAGGGTTCTCCTTCAGCACTATATACACACTCCCTAAGAATGTTGTTGCCCCAAGACAGCTCCTTTATTCCCAGGGCATTTAGAGCAATCTTAATATTCAAAGTAGACAATGTTGATTATTCTTCAGTTACTACTGAGTACTTCTGCAGTTTTTATTTTAAGATTTTGAACAGTTAAAGCTTTGCAAATAAGTGGCACAATGGCATTAAAGAGATTCAGACTTGAAAATTCACCAACTTGGTCCTCCATGCCTACTCAATTACCTCATTCTGAAGCACTAAGGCTCATTATGACTATCTTTTTGCACGTAACATTTTTAGAAGCTTGTCAATAACACACGTCTCATATCTTAAATTAAGCTTCTTGGGTATTTAAGCCATTTAAAACCAGATGCATTTTGCAGTGTGATAAAAACGCAGTAATCATGTTCTGAAATTAGAATCAGGGAGACAGTAGACAAATTTAAAGTGGAGGAAACTCTGTATGGTTCACACCCAAGTGCCTCCATTATTACAAAAACTTGGAGAAACAGTTTAGTTTTTTGGATTATCACCCAATGCTACAGTGAATTTTGTTGGTAACACCATTCTCACAACAGAGCTGAATGAGAACACATTCAGACCCCTGTTTCACTCAGACTCTGATAATTTCAAACAGGAAGCTGGTTAGATGTTTGGTTGTATTCCAAATAGATAGAAATATATGCCCTTGCAAACTATTTTCCATACTTACCAGACACACAAGAAATAAGGCCAGTGGAAAGGGATAAAGAAACCCTGACAGGATACTGAGAAATATAGACCCAGGGATAGCAAAAGTTTGCAAGCTGGATGCATCTTAGTTAAGCAAAAAAAAACCAACCAAACAATAAACATTTTTAAAAAGTTACCCGATTCTTAATTTTATAAGCAGTCAGGATACATATTACAATTTGAAAAAGTATAAATACAAATAGGCATAGCCTCTTTAAGTCAAAATACATTTGCAGAGTAACACAAGAAGCCCAAGCACAGAGAAAACAAGGAATAGATTCATCATTGCACATACAAAATTAAGTCACTAAATAATAAAAGCTGTACTACGTTTTTCTTTTTATCTGTGCTACAATTGACACTGGGAATTTATTGTGACATTACAGGAAACACATACATCCTTACGTTGTTGACCAGAAATATGCATATTTCAGATATTTACTCTAAAAAGTTCACAGAACTTTTTCAAAAAGTTCAAGCCCATAACTACTACGAGTTTCATAAAAGACTGACACACACAAAGTCAACTACTACTTCCTTACAAATAGTCATGGTGCAATCACTACTTAACTAGGATACATGATCACTAATTTCACTCAGAATTTTTCAAAAAGGCAAAAAATTAAGTTTCTGCAACATAAGCAGACAGGCTGTTGAGCTTAAGGCTTGCTAGGCATCCTTGAAACCATGATGTATTGCCCACTTTGGATACAAATCTTATGAAGTAAAAAAAAAAATAAATTGCACACTATTTTATCTGAATTGAATTGACTGAAATAACAAAAAGCCAAATGATCTTCCTTAATATTAAAGTCCATTACAACCTGTACAGCTTTTTCTAAGCAAGTGTCAAGGTTCTGAGATAACTGTAACGTGCTAGTCAACTTATCACAGCCTACTGCAGAGACAGTAAATGTCGTCATATCAGTTGCTAAAGTGGTTCAATAAACAGCCAATTCTCTTCTACTTCCTATTCATATAGAAACATTTTCCTTTTCTTCATAAATCTATTCTTTGTGAACTACACGTAAAAAAGAACAAGCTAGAGGATAATTAGTAATGGCACATTCAGCACTGATTTTTCTGTGAGTTAACAAAGCCTCCTGCATTCAACTATGAAACAGATTTCTTATACAGCTTTTGAAAGTTATTAACCTTTAGTGAAGTTTTCCAGTTAAGAGTGTGTTTAATGATTACTTAATGTATTCAGCACCGAGGAAAAAGAAGTTAACACAGAACACAGGTAGCCTTTGTATCTCCCTAGGCAGAAAGTACTTCAGAAATTTAGCACTCTGTAAAAGGAAATAGAGATTCATTTTTTGAATGTGGGCACTACAGAAATGAAAAAAGGCTCAAAACACTTTCCTTCAAAAATGCTACAAAATATTCTGTAAATTAACCTTATATGGCACTTTTAAAAGTCTCAGGGAAGAACAGTGCAGTAGTCTCAGCTTTCCTTCAGAACCAACAGTAATTTCTAACTGGCAATTCAGTTTGCAATAAAAAAGTTAGCATAACACTAAAATGAGAAGAAGTCTAGTATCAAAGCTAAACATATTGTCCTTAACAGACACAGTCAAGGTGAAGCTGCATGCAAATCTCCAGCAGCATTTACTGTTATACATGCATGCAGCAATTTCCTTCTACTCAATCCTTTCTTACAGTCCAAAAAGCATACTGAAATGCATAAGAAACATTTTTCATTTCAAAGATTTGGCAATATTTGTATCTACTTATAAACAAAGATTAAACAAAGATAAAAAACAATAATAATAAACAAAGATTAAAAAAAGGTATTGCTAGCATTCTTCACCCATAATCAATAATCTAGTTTGAACTTGTCATTTATTTTTCAGAAAAGCATGACTACATCAAAACTGCCCTTTTTATCAGGAAAAGGATACAAAACATATGTGGCAAAATAAGCCACTAACACTTGAACGTAAAATGTGTCCTTATACTTGGACAAGACTTTTCCCAAGGCCTTTGCATCATCCATATCTCTAGGAACCTTTATACATTCTCTTTCTTCTCTGAAAAAAAGGGGAAAAAAAGAAGAACGGTGGTAAATATAATCAAACAGCACAGTAAAATTACTTACTGAATGTATAAATTATTAAATACACTAATCACTAAACTACAACCTCAGCAAACAAACCACAATTATTGTTGTGATATTGTTCTCAGAAGAACACTTGATATTTACAGTTTTTTTATAAGATTCTCCATTTTAGATATTTTCAAATAATTTTTAAAATTCATTACAATAATCTGCTTCATTTCTAGCTTGTGTTTTTTTTTTCTTACCAAGTACTATTAAAAAGAAATAACTACTCAAATCAAAACTTGGCAACCGAACAGCGGTCAACATTTCAGCCAAAACCAACTGGAACTGCCTCAACACTAGGGTCATAACATTTGAAGTGCAGCAAGAGCGGCAGAGCTTTACCTCACCAACAAACAAAGCTTTAAGAGCAAAATCTCGTGTCACACCTTAATCTGGTGCAACCCTGGGCAGCACAGTTGAGTGTCCTCTCCTCCTCTGTATCAGACTTAGTTGCAAACTGAACTTGTTGAGCAAGTTTAATCAGACAGAAAATTAACTACTAAAAGAAAAAAAGAAAGTTGTCAGACAAGCAGGTTTCCATCTTGTCAAACTATCTTCTCAACATGAATACCAGATGCAACAAAAAGGAGAAAGACAGCATGAAGCTTAGATATGAAGGAAGGAGGATGTCTCCTTTTGATGACAGCCTCCAGTTATACTAGTGCATAAGGAATTTTAAAATAAACCTAGCCCTAACCAAGCACATCTTGGCTCTCCACTCCTTGAGGGTTAAGAACATAGTGAGCTACCATTGCTAATGTGACAGGGGTAACTTTTCAAAACGTGGCATCTCAACTGTGCAACAAAACCCTAGGTCAAGTAGCACCCTGTTTACACAGATCCTACTGGTATTTCAATATTATGCTTTTTATCCTGATATTCTAGGTTATAAACTTAAATTCCCTTCTAAAAAAATAAGGTTATGTCTATAATTAACTCACGCCAGTTTAAAAATCATTTAACCCCATGTAGTCTCTAAGATTTGATACGGAATGAAAAGCAAACAGATTAATCTTTCCTGACATACTTACTCACTAAGTTGTGGGAAATTTTTATATACCAGGAACATAAGGAAAGCAGCTGATAAGAAGATGGACACTAAAATAAGAAGTGATGTACGAGCTGATCCGCCTTCTGCCTGAGCTTTCCCTGAAATTAAACAAAAACAAAGTTTATAAAAAACCACAAACCAAACCACCAACAACAGAAAGAAACCCCTCATATCTTACAACAGATTTCAAACTTACACTTTAAGAAAATGTTAAGCTCTCTGTGGACATAATCTTCCCACTAATGCTTTTTATAACACATGGGAAATGTGAGCGATGTGTTCTAAGAGCTTTTCAAGCAAATTTGAAGTTCTTACAGTGGCAAACATCCCACAGAAGTCAATTTCTATGATACATAGCAATTTAAGCCTCAATTAGTAAATAAATTTGTCAAGAGAAAAATAGAGCAAAATCAAGTAAGCTAAGTATTATTTTTTTCCCCCTTCTGCTAGAAGTCTTCTGCCAGTCTAGTTAACTAGAGATTTAACTTGAAAGTGTAAAAGAAGCAATGGGAGTAGGATAAGTGGCACAACTGCATTTTAGGCCTCTTCTACACTTACCAACAGGACCATACACATGCAATACACTGACTGGCACAAATATAGCTATAAGTACAAAGAATTTTAAACAGAGAAATAAACAGTAAGAAGTCTCTGCATCCACACTAGGGCATGTATTAAAACACTCTCCCTCCTCAGACACTGCTAGGCCAGCACAACTTTGCACAAAGCGCCAGTTTTGGTCACCTGAAGAACACCAAAAAAAACAAAACCCAGGGCCGTATTTTCATTCGGGTGGCAGGGCTGCGGTGCCAACCCCGCGGCGGGCTGCCCTGCCACCTCGCTGTTGGGAAACACCGCGAAGGGATGATGAAACCCAGGGACACGGGGGACCGGCGGGCCGAGCTGGCGGCTGGCTCCCTGGCTGTTAAGGTCAGCGCCATCCCGCCGGCGGGCGCCCGCTCTGCCGGGGGCAAAGGCGGCACCCCCGCACCGGCTACGGGCACGGCCGCCTCACCCGTGGCTTTCTTCATAACACCTTCTCCGGAGGGGCCGGGGGGGGGATTATTAAGAAAAAAACCCCCGACCTCCTCACCCCGCCGCCCGGCAGGCGCTGAGGGAGACGCCCCCGGCCCCCGCGGACCGTTGGCAGGACGAGGTCGCGCGCTCCCGCCGCCCTCCCCCCCCTCGGGCCCGGCCACCTTCTAGAAGCTGCCGCTGGTGCCTGGCGCTCTCCGCCGCCCCTCGGCAAGGCCCGCGCTCCGCCGCCCTCCGCTGCGCCATGGTTCCGCGCCGAGCGGCCAGAGATTCGGACCCCCCGGGCGAGGCCTGCGCCGGTACCGAAAGCGGCGGGAAGGTAGGCGGGACTGAGGCCGCTCCTCCTCACCCCACTGGGTCACGGCTCCACGCCCCCGCCGCCTGACCGCGCATGCGCCGCCCCGGCCTGCCTCTTGTATGAGGGGCATTACCGGCTTGCGCTTCTGCGCCGCGATATACGGCAGCACGTGGTCGAGCTTGGCATCCCGAAATGCGAGCGTACGTCAGTGGCGGGTAAATACGGTAACGCCTCATTTCTGGGAACGTCCCTCCCGCGCCGCTCGCCGTATGGGTATATACGGTAATAGGCTGTGCGCTTAATAGGGGTAAATACGGTGCGGGGTGCTCCCTCAGCGCGGCCTCCTGGGCCCCGGCGGGAAATAAAGGCCGATGGCGCCTGCGGGGAGCAGGATAAACCTCGTCTGCGGGCACGATTTACCTCGGTACCGGCGTGAGGCGCAGCCGAACGGGTGTGAACGCGGGTGGGAGCCCCTCGGCGAGCGGGCGGGGCTGTGGGGCCGCGCTGGGGGTCCCTGGGTAGGGCAGCGGGACAGCGGCGAGCCCTGAGGGAAAGGGGACGCCTCAGCTGATTCTGACAGGTCGGGTTTTCAAGCCGGTTTGTGCCTCTCTTTGAGAAGAAAGCTGTGTCTAATGAGCCGGATTGCTCTTTCTGGGAAGAAGGAAAACTCTTACAGAGCTTTCACAAGATCTTCACGTCTCCCAGTGTTCGCAAATTCCTTGGCATTGAAGCCGAATCTGACCTCGAAGCACCTATTTCCTAATGCGATCTTTTGGCAATAAGACACCCCTTAACCTTTCAACTCTCCCTGCCAGCAAGAAGTATTACAGTTAAGTGCTCTCCAGAGAGAACACTCTGAAACTGTGTAGACAACAGGCGTTGCATAAGCTTTTGGGCAGGCTTGTTGGCTGAGGGAGACGGTATGTCACCCCCCCTCCCCTCTCCACCTCTATCTACTCATAAATCTTTAGCCCTTCTTCAGGGTCTTTTTCCTAGAAAGGAAGGTCTCATGAGAGAGCTGGACACTGTTCTAAGATTTGACTTCAGCTTCACTTATCCACATACTTTGGCTGCAGCTAACTTTGTACTATGGCTAAACACATATTTAAAAATTGCTTGTACAGGATTACAACAGATAAGTAATTTTATAGCAGTAGAATTTTACAGCTTGTATTTCCTGAGATCATAGATCTTTATAAGGCAGTGAGGAAGATGCCGCTCAGCACACAACAGACTTCTTAAAAGCTTTTGCTTTATTGCTACGCTGGACAAAAAACACTTGTTTGCGCTACAAAGTGTCTACAGGAAGTTGATGATTCATTTTAAGATCTAAATAGTCTAATATGCTATTACACAAGTGCAGTCCCTGCCAAATCCAGTGGTAGGAAATAATCCAAACTATAAATTGTGATCAGATTCCAAATAAGGCTTAAACTCATGAGCAGATTCTACATGAAGCTTTAATTTACTCAGAATTTCTTACCTTTAGAATTGGATGATTTCAAATTATTTCATTAAATTGTATAATTCACTATTACAATATTTTTAATTGTATTTCGGAAATGCTAGTGCCCTGAGGAACCAGTCAGGTCCATGAACTTCTTGTTGTTGGCATTGGTGCCAGATGACAGAATCCTTTGTTTTTTCAAACCCTTTCACTAGAAAATTGTTCACACTAGCAAGATGGGAATTGCTGACACCGTAGCAGATAGCATTTTTCCCCCTATTGTAAATGCACACCATGTTTGTCATCTCTCTGATTATCCCATTACTTCTGGTACTCAAGGAAAAATGATTCAAACACTGGGACTTCTTTCTTATCTGGACAACTTCTGACAAAATATCAAATAGGTACTAAACTGAAGAATGTTGGAAGTAAAGTTAGAAATCAGATTATTATGCAGAAAAATGTTTACCAAGCAATCCTGAAACAGAACAGAAAAAGCAGGTCCTGAAAGATGTAAATAAAACATGTACCGCAATTCAAAAGTTGTAGAGTAAATTCTAAATTTGCAGATTGTTCCCAGGATGCTGATTCTGCAGTAAGCTCCCTCTGTTAGTATATATCTCATTAAAAATAGAAAAGATAACTTTCATCAACACAGTGTTATGGAGCTCCAGCTTTCTGAATTGCTGCCAGAGTGAAATTTAAGGATTCATTAACTAGATGACTTTGAAGTTGAACTATACTGCATAAGTGATATTTGTTATACTAGCTACCAGAAGACTCCTAGACTGTTTTATGCTGTTCTTGGTTCCCCTCGGGGGTATAATGCTGTTGTGAATGTATTGGCTATTTTACTAAACTTTGAAACTGTCAGGGGTGTTTAATACCTGCTGAAAATTTAAATAGTCAACTCCAAAGATGTCCACACCTAACAAATATCAGCAGAACCTCAGCATTTGCTCAGGAAAAAAAAGAGACATGTCTGGAGAATGTTCCTTAGGACTCACTCTGTAAATAAAATAACTCAGAAACTCTATTTAAAATATTAAATTAGATTCATTTGCTAGAAAGAAAGCATAGAATGGAAAATACCATAAGCCACATCCCTCATGTGTTCAGAGGAGAAAGTTTTGTTAACTAGAACTCAGTGAGTGATCAAGGAAACTTTCAACACAGGGTTGAGATCAGCCCTGCCAGAAACAGCGTCGATCCACAGTGTACTGAGAATGAAAGCTGTGGGCTGAAAATAGATTTACTCTCTTCATGTATAAAGTATCCCCTATACATTATGTATAACTTCATAAACAACAGATAATCTTCTCTGTCTTTGGAGCATCTTTCTAAGTCCCTCCTGACACAGAACATGTGCTGCACAACACTTTGCTCAAAAGAGAAAGAATGACAGAAGTGCTCTGGTCTCCAGTTGGGAACAGCACTCTGTACTGAGAGGCTATAGACTGAATGAGGCAAGTAGCCACAAACTTTATATGAACTGTTTTTTGAAAAATATACCTTAAACTCAGAATATGAGTTCTTTCAAATAACATGTGAACCAAAAGGAAAAATGTTTTTTTGACATGCTGGAAAGAAACAAATATATTGACAATTACTAGGGTGGTAGCTAAGTGGCCAGCTGTATGAAGTCACTTCCTTCTGTGGGTGGAACGTTTTATATTTATAAAATTGAAAGAGCTGTCTTCCCACAACACAAAAAACTTGTCTTTGCTTCTTTTTTACATCCCGTCTAGGTCGGAGGGATGGAGTACGCATCGCATGGCTGAGTCACTGACATCGCCGATGCTCTGAAGACTGAGTCATGCTAATTGTCAGTGAGAGGGAGGAGGAAGAGAGACTGAGAGTGATCCTACTCCTGCGAGCTTCTAGCTGAAAATTATCAAAAACAGGAGCATTAATCAATAAGTAAATCACAGGTATAATTTCTTGAGGAGAAGTGCAGATTTAGCACCCTTTTCTCCTGCTTTCCCCTGTTATTGTCTTCTTTCTGACCACCACAAAGAAAAATTCATTGTTTTAGCATTTTTATTATGTATAAACATGGCAAGAAATTACTTGGTTCCAACTAACAGTTTAAAGTTTAGAATTAAGGAGTTGATTTTGCTTTACATAGAACAGGGAGCCACTTTGCTGGCATCTCAAGAGAGGCAGTAGCTTGCAAAAAAGAAGTTGTAACAACCTGAAAGGCAGATGATGCCAGAGCTGACCTCCCTGCCTGTGCCCATTCCCAGGAAAGTGATGGAAAATCCAGGGATAACATTTAGCTGGACAGCCTACCAGGTTCAGAATGCCTGCTATTGCCTGTGCCCCCTTGTGAGTTTTGATGAGCTCATACTTCATATTTTCATTAGTTACGATAAAGAGTTTGAGGATGTAACTAGTGAATAAGCATCTGCTCAGAGGGCAAGTTAGGATGGAATGCACTGATTAAAATGAACCGAAAAATATCATCAAGAAATAAGATAAATAGAAATAAGCACATATTCGTTGCTGGATAGCTCTGTTTGTGTTAATGAAAGATTAGAAATATTTTGGAGCCAGAAGGAGAAGAAGAGAGGTAATGAGAGCTTTTATTTATAAAAGCCAGTGCTTAAGGACAGTAGCTGAAAAATGAATTAAACAGCAAGTGAGAGCAAAACTTGTAAGCATTAAAATGAGTTGACTCTGAACAGAACCATAAATGTTCAGACTAGTTTCTCTCCCGGTATTTTTTTTATTGAAGGTATAGTTTTTAATTCCTTACACAGATTTATGTACAAATGTACAAAATGCAAATTTTTAATAGTATGTACCTGTTTTCATTACTGCTTAATTAATTAGAAACACAGTAAAATAAATAGCTATGATGTTTCTATCCCAAATGGTAAAAATAAAAGTCAGAGTCTCAGTTCTCATGTAGCTCTTCTTCCTAATTAATAGTTCATAGATCACCTTAAATAGCCACCTACATTTTTTTTTCCTATTGAATGTGCCAATGGTGTACATGAAATAGGGAAAGAAACTTTTCTGGTTAGTCTGCTCATATCCTATATTTGAATGCAAGAAGACAAGCATTAAAGGTTATTTTGTCTTGCTGCAAATTAAGAGTGAAACATACCCTGTAATAAGCTTATGCCATCCCAACTAAGGGTCATGAAAGCTCTGCCAGGTTCCTTAAATGTAGTGCCAGCTTTCAGAGGCTTTACTTCCCAATCTTTTTTTTTTTTTCTTTACCCAGACTCAGAAAGAATTTCCTCTAGAAAGTCCAAGCTCTTATTAAAAATACCAGGAAAAGAGGGAGTGCAGGGAATCTGACAGAAATAACTAACTTAGTGTTTGTAACAGGAAGAGGGCTGAACAACTCCACCTCCCTCTGTCCATTCCCTCCTCCCAGCTCTTAGTCTCGCCTACAGCAGCTGTAGAGAATATGTAGAGAGTATGTTGAAGAGTTCAGCCAATGTCAGCTCTTTGAGACAGATAGCAAGGGAAATACAAGTATTTCCAAAGCAAGAAAATCTTCTTGGCACCTTACACTTGCTCAGTGTCTCCTTCTTCAAAGCTCTTTGCAGGCACCTGCGAGGCAGGGCACAGCCCACACACAATGGAGCACAGCAGGGAGAGGCCACCATGAGCCGTGTCCAAATCATGGACAGATAAAAGGGAGGCAGCACAAGAGCAGAGTGAGTATGAGGAGCTGCAAGGAGAGTCCTTGTTTGATTCAAAAACAGATGTGCAAGGGTCAGATCGTTGTAACTGTCTATTGACATTTCCTTTTATTCTAATTTGCCCTGAACTGAGGTCCTAACTCTGTGCCCTAACGCTAAGAGAGGCTAGAGGAGAAAACATGTTGATTAAAAAAAAAAAAAAAAGCAAAGATGAAAAATGAGAACTTGTTGAGATCTGAAGAGAAACCAGTTCAGCTTCCTCATTTATTCTACAGCTCTCTTGGAATGTGGTCTTTACACAACATGCCACTTGGTTACCTGAACCGGGTTACCAGCAGGAAGGGTATGTCAACAGCCAATTGCCTAATGGCATTGCAGAGTCAAGTGGTTAAATTATCAGTAATCATCTTCCACGTCACACTCTGAGTACAGTTTTAATCATCCTTTGGTGTTAAGCAGTAAATGAATTCGGCTTGGAAAAGGAGGAGCAAATCAGCAGTCCAGACACATAATTTTGAAAAATAAACCAATAAAGCATAAAATTAACGCTTGTTTCAGTGTCTCATTAATTACCTAGAAAACAGAATGACCTTAAGCAGTGCGTTTCAGTGTTGGGAAGGGTTTGCATGTCTTCTCATTAATTACCTAGAAAACAGAATGACCTTAAGCAGTGTGACCCTGATGATGGTAAGCAAGCCTGGCAAAGAGAAATTATAAAGATGGAGCTTTTCGGAAAGGCTGTGGATCTGACTTGTGACCTCAGCTTCTCTGAAATTCAGGCTGAGAATGGCTCAATGTAGCACTGTGTCATATGACATGGTGTTCCTAGGGGTTTTCATTCTGGGAATACATTTCTCTCTTACCTACATAACTTGGTAAACAGTGTTATGTCACACAGGGGGAACACAGTTCTGGTCTGGGGGCAGAAGCAGCGTGTTCAGTGTGACACACACTGCAGTTTTTCCCAATCTGCACTGGAAACCTGAATGAAGGTTTTCGAAATTAAATGCACCTTAATTTTCAGAATTAGTAATTTTCAGATTTAAATAGCCTGAAGTTAGTTACACTCATCAATGAACTGTTGGCTGGTGGCCGGCAGGCAGAAACCTGCAGGTTGGTTGATGCTTTGCTTTATTTCCAGGTGTTGCTGAAGGGTCTCTGAAGATCTGAAGAGAGAGGTCAGAGTTTCTACTTTGAAAATTTCTTCTACCTTAGAGGAAGAAGAGAGGAAAAATTGGGGAACTTCGGCAGAGATCTGGAAAAAAAACAGCGTAGTGGGTAGACACACAATTCAGGAAGAAAATGATGGGGAAAGTGTGTTCAGGTAATATGGGAGTGCTAAACAGATTGCAGAAGCAAGGATAAGAAAAAAGGAAAAGTAGGAAAACCTGGTATTACTTTTTAAAAATAAAAATAAAAACTTCCAGTGAAGAAGTTCAGAACTTCTAAATATTTTCCATTTTATGTTGGAAGGAGTCCCTGCAACCTTCGGATAAATTCCATTTGAGATTAGGAGGGGAAAAGTTAATAGGATGTTGTTTTTTTTTTTCCTGTTACGATGTGTTTCACAATTCACAATTTAAGAATGCATGGTCTAATCAGAATATGTGCAAATGACATGCCAAATTGTCTTGTGTTTTGCTTTTTCTGTGAGATCAAGAATGTCTGCAGTGAGAGTGCCCAGTCTTTCTCCTGACCTGTCCTCTAAGGTCTTAGTTCTTCCAGAAGCTCCCTGGGCTTTGATCCCTTCAGCAGCAGGGCAGGAATCCCAGGCGTGTTTGAGAAGGTGCCCCTGAGTCCATCCCATGCCTATGTTATCTGAGTGCAGATGTTCTACTTATTGAGCACACAGAATCACAGAATCTTCTAGGTTGGAAGGGACCTTAAAGATCATCTTGTCCAACCGTCAACCTGACTGACAAAAACAGACACCCACACAACAAACAAGGAGCATCACCATCACTAAACCAGACCTCCCAGCACTACAGCAACCTGTCTTTTGAACACCTCCAGGGATGGGGCCTCAACCACCTCCCTGGGCAGCCCATTCCAATGCCTGAGAACCCTTTCAGTGAAAAAATGTTTTCTAATATCCAGCCTGAACCTCCCCTGGTGTAACTTGAGGCCATTTCCTCTCGTCCTGTCACCTGTGACTTGGGAGAAGAGACCGACCCCCACTTGCTCAGTGTCTCCTTCTTCAAAGCTCTTTGCAGGCACCTGTGAAGCAGGGCACAGCCCACACACAATGGAGCACAGCAGGGAGAGGGCACCGTGAGCTGTGTCCAAATCATGGACAGATAAAAGGGAGGCAGCACAAGAGCAGAGTGAGTATGAGGAGCTGCAAGGAGAGTCCTTGTTTGATTCAAAAACAGATGTGCAAGGGTCAGATCGTTGTAACTGTCTATTGACATTTCCTTTTATTCTAATTTGCCCTGAACTGAGGTCCTAACTCTGTGCCCTAACGCTAAGAGAGGCTAGAGGAGAAAACATGTTGATTAAAAAAAAAAAAAAAAAGAAAAAGATACAAAGCAGAGAGTAAACACTGTGAAAGATGAAAAATGAGAACTTGTTGAGATCTGAAGAGAAACCAGTTCAGCTTCCTCATTTATTCTCTTGGAATGTGGTCTTTACGCAACATGCCACTTGGTTACCTGAACCGGGTTACCAGCAGGAAGGGTATGTCAACAGCCAATTGCCTAATGGCATTGCAGAGTCAAGTGGTTAAATTATCAGTAATCATCTTCCACGTCACACTCTGAGTACAGTTTTAATCATCCTTTGGTGTTAAGCAGTAAATGAATTCGGCTTGGAAAAGGAGGAGCAAATCAGCAGTCCAGACACATAATTTTGAAAAATAAACCAATAAAGCATAAAATTAACGCTTGTTTCAGTGTCTCATTAATTACCTAGAAAACAGAATGACCTTAAGCAGTGTGACCCTGATGATGGTAAGCAAGCCTGGCAAAGAGAAATTACAAAGATGGAGCTTTTCGGAAAGGCTGTGGATCTGACTTGTGACCTCAGCTTCTCTGAAATTCAGGCTGAGAATGGCTCAATGTAGCACTGTGTCATATGACATGGTGTTCCTAGGGGTTTTCATTCTGGGAATACATTTCTCTCTTACCTACATAACTTGGTAAACAGTGTTATGTCACACAGGGGGAACACAGTTCTGGTCTGGGGGCAGAAGCAGCGTGTTCGGTGTGACACACACTGCAGTTTTTCCCAATCTGCACTGGAAACCTGAATGAAGGTTTTCGAAATTAAATGCAACTTAATTTTCAGAATTAGTAATTTTCAGATTTAAATAGCCTGAAGTTAGTTACACTCATCAATGAACTGTTGGCTGGTGGCCGGCAGGCAGAAACCTGCAGGTTGGTTGATGCTTTGCTTTATTTCCAGGTGTTGCTGAAGGGTCTCTGAAGATCTGAAGAGAGAGGTCAGAGTTTCTACTTTGAAAATTTCTTCTACCTTAGAGGAAGAAGAGAGGAAAAATTGGGGAACTTCGGCAGAGATCTGGAAAAAAAACAGCGTAGTGGGTAGACACACAATTCAGGAAGAAAATGATGGGGAAAGTGTGTTCAGGTAATATGGGAGTGCTAAACAGATTGCAGAAGCAAGGATAAGAAAAAAGGAAAAGTAGGAAAACCTGGTATTACTTTTTAAAAATAAAAATAAAAACTTCCAGTGAAGAAGTTCAGAACTTCTAAATATTTTCCATTTTATGTTGGAAGGAGTCCCTGCAACCTTCGGATAAATTCCATTTGAGATTAGGAGGGGAAAAGTTAATAGGATGTTGTTTTTTTTTTTCCTGTTACGATGTGTTTCACAATTCACAATTTAAGAATGCATGGTCTAATCAGAATATGTGCAAATGTCATGCCAGATTTTCTTGTGTTTCGCTTTTTCTGTGAGATCAAAAATGTCTGCAGTGAGAGTGCCCAGTCTTTCTCCTGACCTGTCCTCTAAGGTCTCAGTTCTTCCAGAAGCTCAATGTGCTTTGATCCCTTCAACAGCAGGGCAGGAATCCCAGGCGTGTTTGAGAAGGTGCCCCTGAGTCCATCCCAGGCCTGTGTTACCTGAGTGCAGATGTTCTACTTATTGAGCACACAAAATTAAGAACCAATTAGTGTGATAGCTGTGTTTTCCAGCACCATCCACAAAATTAAGCGACAATTAGTGTGATAGGTGTGTTTTCCAGCACCCCACATGCGAGTCACTTGAGCGTATTTACAGTCCTCCTCCCCAATCTCCCGTTACTTCCCAAACTCACCATTATAGTGAGTGTGCCAATAACCAAGGAACAAGCTTTCCACACTCACCATTCACAGTGAGTGTGCCAATAACCAAGGAACAAGCTTTTCACCCTTGCTGTATGCAACCACATAGTTAGTTTTGAAGAAATATATTCAGGTCACCGTTAAACCAGTATTCTGCAATGGAAAATAATTAAAATTCGGAGCAGATCAAAGAGGTCAGAATGTGTTTAACTGAAACATTTTAGAAAAGCTGCCCACATTCTGAGGAATGAATTGCTGTACGTGTATTCCTATGGGAAATTATTAAATTAATTGAAAAAGCTATAATATGACTGATAGCACTTGGTATCATAATGAATGAGCATCACAGAATCAGTTGTTAATCAGGATTAGAGATTAAATGGGGATGGGCTGATAAGTGTAGACGGCTTTCACCTGAGGCAGTTCTGTGAAGGAAAACTCTTCTTTTCAACCTTGAACGTTGTGTACCCAGTCCTAGACAAGTTCCCTGTGCAGTAGCTTGGCTGAATGCAGAAATCCAGATCTACAAATATCTGTGATAAGCAAATTTGCACACGTTTTCCGCTGCACACACTCCTTGTTCCTTTTTGCCTGTGGACAGACTACGGGACCAGCTTTTTGGCCCACTTCCTGCAACAAAATAGGCTAAAGCCAGGGCCTGCAGAAAAGAAATGTCAGATGTTTGTATAAAATATTATTAGTTAATATGATGTAATAATTTCTGAATAAGCAAGGGTAGTACAGAGAAAATAAAAGGAATCCCCAGAAAGACTGATACATGATTTTGTAAGAACTAAAAAAAGTTGGTATGCCATTATTCTGTAGAAATCTTCATTGTAGCTGAACCAGCATGTTGGCATTCTTATGCGGAACTACTTGCTGTACTGGTGATGTGATTTCATGCAAATACTTTAAGAAACTTTCAGCTCGATTTAGCTGTAGCAATTTGGTTTTTTTATCTTGTCAACCCAGCAGAAACAGGAGTGAAAATTCATTTCACATTCTGAGGCGAGGAACGCTGCTGAGGAAAGGCCAGGAGTCCAACAGAAGAACGGTGTTGAGCAGGAACCAAGGCGTTTGAGGAGCCACACGGGGAGGAAGCTGACACAGCTCTTGGTTACCCTGAGAACAAGATGTTGCCCTGGATGCACCATCCACGTGCCTTCAAACAGTGAGAAGAGGGGCAAACGATAAACTTAACTTAAACGATTTTAATCTGGCCCTATTTTAACTTAACTTAACTTAAACGATTTTAATCTGGCCCTTGGCTACCAAGAGCCTGGAGCCACAGGAGTATGAATTTCTGGGCCAGCTCACTACTAACTCAAGGAGCCTCAGCTGAAGATACTGCTAACACCTCTGGGCTGCTGCTTACATACAGGTCAGAATGGTTCCTACCCTTCCTCAGCATGATAACCCATTTTGATAAATAAGAAAATACTGCTATTTAAAACAATATAACCCAAAACAAAACACATTCATCCCATTTGGACAGCAATACTGAGTTGTAAAGACTTGCAAGGAATAAACACTATGAGACACGTAATGAAAGTGCTAATCAAGTAACACCTAAAATGCAAGTAAAAGAAGGAAATTTAAAAAATTAGGTCTTTTAACAAAAAAAAAAGTATTTTTAATACACTCAAATTCTGATATTTGCCCTTGTTCTATCTAGCAAATACACATCTCAACACTTTTCAAGCCTCATTTTGTTATTTTTGACTTTTAACGTAAGCAGCTAATTAAGGCTTATGATCTATAGAGTTACTTCTAATAGAAAAGTAATTTGGTGAAGGAGTAATGTACTTTTATGAAATCCTATTTATTTAGAAAATACATATCAAAAGTTGTGCTTCAATTAGCATAGCAGGAATCAAAGAGAAAGGGGTAATATGTTGCTTTTAGTACCTGTAAGTAAACTTTCCAGCTTATTTTCTGCTCACAAACTCTGTATCTAATCTTAGTTTTTTCTCCCAGTCAGCTGCAAGCACTTCCCTGCCTGCCTCTGGGCATTTCTTTGATGCCTTTATTATGCTTCCTCTCAGGCAGACAGAGAATTCACCAGGCAACACTGGGTCTCCTTTGTCTGCAGTCAGGCCCAAAGAAGCAGACCTGGCCCTGTAGCTCCCATTTGTCCCCTGCCCTGCCTGGGGCCTCTGCTTTTAGCACCCTTCTGATTATTTCAGCTCTATATTCCATAAAGGAACAGAACGGGTTTTGAATTTTTCCTGCGTAAAAGGCTTCTTTCCTATCTACCTGCTTTCCCTGTATTATGCAGAAATCTGGTAACCGTACTCTCCATTTACTTTACTTCTCTATAATAAAAAATGTTTACATATCAAATGGGGAAGGGAGTAGAGAGAGTATACCTAATTCCCTGATCTAAATTTTAATCTTGAAAATGTTGGCATAGAATAGATTTT